ATTGGTTATATTGTTTTGACAAATGTGATATTAGTGGGTAGTCATCTTTTTACAAATTTGGTATTAGTGAGTTATCTTCTTTTGATAAATTTGATATATTCACGTCGAGTAGTGGGTTATTTTTTATTAGAGTATATTTAAAATTTGTATAACAACTACAAAAATTTAAAAAGATATATATTTTTATATCTATTATAAATGTTATTTTAAAGAGATTCTACTATATATATATAAATATTTTAATAGATATTTTACTGTATGTTTAAATATTTTAATAAAAAAATTACTATACAATCAGTGTACACTCATTGAATTTACCTTTAAAAATTTTACCATCACTATCGAAAGTGACGTTTGTGCCAAATTTTTCAAACTTCTAGTGGACTGTGAATTTGGACGTGTAAATCTGAGTTGCAATTTTTTAAAATGGAGAAGTCACTTGTGCCGTGTGATAATAAGGCCAAGTTTGGAAAGACTAAAAAAGTGCACTTTTTGTCTTTTTGGACTAAAAAATTGAGGTTGAAAATATTGATGTTTGGGTTAACTTTTTGACTTTTTATGAAAAAATATGTAATAAAAAATTGTAAAATTTGATTTGTAAGGAAAAATTCGAATTGGGAGTTGCGCAGCCGTAATTGTTGACTTTTGGTGAATAAAATCAAAAAGAGTAGCGCTCCATTGCTTTGTGATTCGAGAAGAGCTTATCTCTTCAACGGGTATAATTTTATGATATATAAGGAGTATGTTGGTTGAAGAACAATGTGTTGAAGAAGGGAAGAAAGCAAAAATTTGTGATATTTATTTTGTTCTTAAAATATTATTATGTTTCATTGAGTTATATTTTTTGTAAAAAAATTTGTTAAGAATTTGAGTAAAATTATAAAAGAGTTTTTTTATCTCTTATTCTTATTATTCTAGTAAAAAAAAGAGAGTTTTTGTGAGTGATTTTTCGGAATAAAATCACTTAGGTTAGGTGAGATTAGGCACCAAATTCAAAACTAGTCAGGTTATTTTTATGAGTGATTTTTGGGATAAAATTACCTGGTTAGGTGTGACTAAGCACCGGATTCTAAACTAGGTTGTATAGGTTCACTAGCACCCGTGAAATTAAAAGTGTAATTACTATTTGAAGAATAGTGGAGAAATTCTCGAAGAGGACACTTGGAGAGTAGACGTAGTTTTGATGTGCCTAACCATTATAAATCGTTGAGTTTGCTTTCTTTTTCCTTTACTCATTTTATTTTGTTACTTTATTTTATATTATTGAGAAATTTTATTTATTTTTCATCTGAGTTAATTTTTAATTTAATAATTTTTTAATAATTCAATTCAACCCCCTCTTGAATTGCTCGTACATCACACGAGTCCCCTACTAATTAATGTATAACCAAATTCTAATATATAATTTTAGTAATTATATTTAACAAACTTTGTATGGGTAGTGGTAATAAATAAATTGTGAGTACAAGTAAAATGTAGTATAAAAATATAATTATGTGTAGCATCATTCTTAAGAATATGTAGACATACACAGCTCCTTGGGGTCCTTCGGTTGGGTCCATTCTAGAACCATTTTGACTATTCAAATAATTCATTTTGTGAGATTTATTGAGTAAATCATTCACGTAAAAAATTAAGTTGATTGAATATTGATAAAAACACGATCATGTTATTTTATCTTAAAAATATCAGGCAATTCATTCAGTGAATCATTTATGTGAAAAATAAACTTGATCAATCATTAGGATCAAAATGATCATATCATATTTGTTTTAAAAAATAAATAGTAATGATAATTTTAAAAATAAATCATTTAATTTTTAAAATAAATCCGATCATGTGACTATTGTTATTGGAATAATCAATTTTTTTTTACTTCTTCACAAAGAGCCTTTAAAAAATAAAGGGTAAATTACAAATACACTCCCTCAGATTTATTTAAAGTATAGATTGTCTCCTATGGTTTGAAAAATTACAAATACTCCATTGTTAGAATTTTTTATTTTACAAAATTAACTAAAAAAATAGAATTCATAATTGTTCTTCTATACAATAATAAAATTACCTAAATTATTAATTGAAACATATTTCTAATATCATTAAAAACTGTTAATTAACTTGATAATTTATTAACAAAATGAGTAATTTATTATGAAATTAGAATGTTAATTAACTTGATAATTTATTAACAAAATGAGTAATTTATTATGAAATTAGAAATCTAAGGGGGTGAAATGTAATATCTGAAACCACAAGGGCGATTCGTATTTTAATCAAATATTAGGGATGTATTTTTAATTCATCAAAAAATAAAAGATTTGAATATTGTCAATAAAAAATAAAATAAAAAAAAGTACACAATCAGCTTCAACAGGGACTTGGGGCACAGCGGCTTGCTATGCCCCAGTAATGATTTAGAGTTTTAAATAAGGAGTTCTAAATCCATCACTAGTGAGGTAGAAATTGAAAAAAAAAAAAAGAACAAAAAAACAAGGCACAATATTAGTGATGGTTTTAATTAAAAATCCCAAGCATTTTTGGCTATGCCTCTTTGTGGGAGTTCGTCCCCAATATTGTTTGATAATTTGAATCGTTCATAGTGTAAGATTTGTCAAGAATGTTATTCATATAAAAAATCAAGTTAATCGGATATTTATAACCCTATGATTAGGTCTTAATTGTTTTTAAAAATTTGTGAAAGTTATGTTAACTGTTAATTTTTATAAAAACAAATGTGCTTTGATTATAAGACTGCAGATATTCAATCAACATGATTTATAGCATAAATGATCTACTCGACGAACCTTACAATATAAAAAGTTGAGATTATCAAAAGAGACTCGAGAGGACACTCCAAAATGGAGCACAGCAGCCTGCTTTGGGCATAACAGGATCCCCAGATCCCGTCGACAGTGGATAGACAGTGCGACTAAACCAATTGAAATCCAAAAGATACTGCATATTTGCAAGCACTCCTGATATCATGCATGATGCTATGCAGCATAGAAGAAACAAACAACAATCAATCACTGCAAAATAGAGACAAATTAGAAATCCTCACACTTGGCCTCCACTTAAAGAAGAAGACAAAGCCCTCTTTCCAACATCTCAAATAAGTTGGTTAGGGGAGGGTTAAGAGGTCAACTTACATCTACAGCTACACACATATGACTGCAATGGCTGTAAATAAGAATATGAGAATTGTTGAGCGATATATATTAAATATCGAGTAAATCGGGTAACGTGACTGATTTTTCTTTTTATAAAAATTATTAGCTGTAAAGAAAGTGTTTTGTATTAGTGGAATTGTTTATATTGACATGAAATAGTTATACGATATGTATTGGGAATCAATATGCATATAATTTTTATTCCCAACATAATATTGGAATATATTAATATCAGAAAGTCAAAATCTCAATATTTGTCAACTGATTAAACCCATAAAAAATTTGAAACTCGATCTGCAATGAAAACACTTATATCAGCTACATAAACACCACAAAACAAGTTCATTTAACCAAAAAAAAAAAAAAAAAAAAACAAAAAAAAAAAAAACAGAGTAGGCTGGTAAAAACTTCCATTTCAGCAAAGTCTTGGCTATATTTATTAAGGATTATTTTGAAAAGATGGTTAAAAGTTAATTTTTTTAATTTTTTTGAAAAAAATGTGAGAAATGATGTGACCCAAAATCGGTTAAAAGGTAAAAGATGATTTTTAACCATATTTCTAAAATAATCCTTAAGCCTTATCTATGCTAGCTTGAATTCTTTCGTGAGTTGATGCCACCATATATGTTTCTTATTAACAAGGTCAATGGTTTATAATAATTTTCAGCAGATTTGACACCATGAATTAAGGACTGATAATTCCTCTAAAAAAACAAAGGACTGATCATGACTTAGCTAGCTAGTACACTGTTAGACATGCCGCTCAACCCCATCTGAAATTACTCTCCGCTATGGTCCAGCCCAACAACCCCTGGGTTCCAATTTAAAAGGCTTGGAATTACTCTCCGCTATGTCCAGCCCAACATCCCATGAGTTAAGTCGCCTCTAAAATGGAGTTGTACAAATCCATTCTTAATATCATCCGCAACCAATATCAATATTCCCACATCGGCGTAGGCACAACCTTAGTTCTAATTTTATGTTCGCGTGACTCAACCTCACTTGGAAGTTTTGGACATAATAGTTCAGGTCAAACCCTTTAAACTTAAATTCAAATTGCACCTTCAGGATGGAGGTGTTTTACGCCATCTTACAAACATCATAAGACTAGAAATTATATATATATATATATATATATAATTAAGGGCAAATTACACTCATCTCTTTTGAGATTTAGAATACAATTAAAAAAGATATTTCTACACTGAATTGTGGCTTATGCATCTAGTAATATTCAAATTAATTTAACTTCAAGTTGTGACTACTTGAATACTATTTATTTATATATATATAATTTATATGTTGTGTGTGCTGACATCAGCCCGCATGAAGCCATTGTGATATATACTACAATTATTCAAGTCAATGAATAAAATAACAAAATTGATCCCGGAAAAAACAATGACATTAATTCTTAGCTGGTTTAGCTAATTAGTTAGCATTCCCACTTCTCCAAATTTTTAACAAAAATAATAGTACTACAAGCAAAACATATTATAAGTTGCATGATTGGTTTAAATACATGGTCAACTAGATCAACCACCCCATCCAAATTTCCAATAATAATAAAAAATAAAAAAAAGGCAAAAAAGGCAAAAAAAATAAAATAAATTTAAGGGATGATATACAATAGTCAAACTCAAAAACTTGGATGTATGCTAAGAAAAATAAATAAATAAATAACGCCAAATTAATATACATTAATGTGTGTTTGGGAATCAACAAATAAGATGCATTCTAACAAGAAATTTAAATATATACTTTAAATTGAAATTTTGAGTAATTTTCTGTTCATTTTTCTAGGTGCATAAACTTTTCTGATAACTTGTATTATCATAAAGATAGTCTGGATACAATCCAGCCAGCTTATTTTTATTGTTCTCTACATGATATTACTCAAATTTCATAAACCATGCCCATAAAGCCATGATAAAGTCCTTACAAAGAAAAAAAACTGTACGCAGACCGATTTTACACATTCAATATTGATACATCAATCATATTGTTCAATATAAGTTGATATATGATTATATGATCGATACCAATATGAATTCTCATACCATTATTTAAAACCATCACGACTATAACTTATTCATAACAACCAATCGAGATAGACACTAATATATATCAGTAAATACTATTTGATATCTACTGATATATTACAGTATTGCTGATATCGTCGTATAAAATCATAACGATTATATAACTTATTCACCGCAACCAATTGAGATGAAAATGGATACTATATCGACAAATACAATCCGATATCAGCTGATATATGAGTGTACTATAACTTATTCATGGCAACCAAACGAGATGGACTGAGAAGGCGGTATGAGCCGAAACCGGTGCAACCGCCACGATTCTCGTAGGAGTTCTCCATCTCCACCAACACCTTGTAGAACCGATCAACGTTGCATGGAAGAGCAAGAGGGCCATCACTGTTGAACCCATATTCCAACTCAGCTTCTTCAAGTAACATCTTGAACAGTGGATGATTTGCATACTCAGTCTTGACCACAAACCTCTGTTTTTGAGGTCCTACATACACCGAGAAGCAGCCTTCCGGCGCAACCCGGTGTTTTCTAGGCCGCTTTTCCTCATCTTCCACGGCTGCACCACCACCATCACCACTGCCGGAGCGAGGCAATGATCGGCTTTTCATCATCAGAGCACCACTGCCACCACCACCTCCGCCACCAATCGATCTGCATCGCTCCCATGTCTTTGTGATCAGCCCTTTCTTGGCTTTAGGGTTAATCACATCCATTGATTTCTTGATGAATAAAAACTATGGAAAAACAATAACTTGACAAAGACGGTAAAAAAAGAGAGATTGAAATGGAAAAAGATAAGTAGATGTTGAGCTTAAAAATCACACACAACACCTTTTTTTCATTATTAATTATACAGTTCTTCTACGTGCACAAAACCGGATCAGAGAAATTAACAAGGAGATTGGGATTTGCTTAACCTCTGTCATAAGCCAAATGAAAAGTTACTTTCATTATTGGCCTTGCGGTGTTGCTCATGTTGTGCTATGGATTGGAAACAGAGCTGAAAATATTCAAAACAAGAAAACCAAGAAAAGGAAACAAGAAAGAAAAAATTTAATACAAAGAGAGGGTATAGGTAGAAGATAAGAGAGTCATGAGTGAGAGTACTAATCTCAGGAGCTGAAGGACCAGATGTGGAGGATAGAGAGGGAAAAGAAACGAGAAAACCAGATGGGTGCAGAGATGGGGTAGCTCTCATATATAAAGGCCCATAACGTTATTAATTTATTTTTTATCTATTCAATTATATTAGTTTTGACTTTATTTTTTTTTATATTAGATCTATTTAGTTCAATTGATGATAATGATTAAGAAATTTGGATAGAAATTGAAAGAAAAATAGTTCATTCAAAGTGAAATGGATTATTTTAAATTAGATGCAAATTTTTTAATCATTTTGTAAAGAATGAGTTGATTGTTCTCTTTGTTGATTTCAATCTAATTTCTAAAGCAACAATGATTCATCTCCCCTTTTCCTCCCACCCCATTTGACCCCCTCTCTCTCTCATTGGTTACATTTTTTTTTTCTTTTTCTTTTTTTTCCTGCTCCTCCAATCACCACCCGCCACGTGGCGAAAGGGGGGTGAGGGGGTGACCCCCAAAAGGGAGTCCCAAGTATTATTCTATCTAAAGAGAGATTATTAATTAGACTAAATTGACACAATATAAAACATTTAAGAATAAAATTGATACAGTTAGAACCATAATGATCAAATTAAAACTACAAATACTTTGGTATTAATTTTATCCATATTTTTAAGTTGCTTTGAATCATAGATTTGTGGAATGACAACAAAAAAACAAAAAACAAAAAAAGGAAAAATGTAATTAAATAGAAGCTAATATTCTTTCTTTCTTTCTTTTTTAATTTTTTAACTTTTCAGAAATCCCTTAAAAAACTTAAACATAGTCTTTAAAATTAAGGATACACTCCTTGTCAGCTAATAAGATAAGCAGTTTTATTATTTATTTTATTTTTTCAATTGGATTTGTGAGTTTCATCATAGGCCTTATTTATGTGGGTTTTTCAAATAATCATAGTTATATCATTGATGAAATTTATTGACTAATTTATTTTTTTTGTCATTTATTTTTAGGAAAAATTATTTATAAGTTCTATTAGGGAGACTTATGTTACATATGGTCCTACTAAAAAACTTATATTCTCATAAGTCTTGTAGAAAGTTTGTTGATACATTTACCCTCAATATTTGTTGTTAATATCATAAATAATAGTAGAACCATATATAAAAATTTAAATGTTACCATAGATCATATCTATATAAACGTAACGTAACGTGACACCTACATAAACGTAACGTGATATATCTACATAAACGTAACGTAACATGACATATACATAAACGTAACGTGAAATTGAACGTTGTCATAGATCATATCTACATAAACGTAACGTAACGTAACGTAGCGTGACACCTACATAAACGTAACATACACTAACATAAACCAGCAACATTTTCACATTCAATTTAAAAAAATAAAAACTTATTAAGTTTGCGAAACGTAACGTGACCCGTTACGTTAGGTTTATATAGGTGTCACGTTACGTTTACATAGGTGTCACGTTACGTTACGTATATGTAGGTGTCACGTTACGTTACGTTTATGTAAGTGTCACGTCACATTACGTTTATGTAGGATCTTGTGAAATACATTCCTATTTAAATAAGACTTGAGACTCTATAAGAAATTACACAGGACTTAGCCTAACATAAGTGTCTGAAAAATGACTTATAAATAAGTCTCATTTATTTTTATGATAATAAATATAACAAAATCATAAAATAAAAATTATCTAATTAATTTAATTTTTTAAAAATAATCTATCCAGACTGAATGAATTAATGCACGAGCCCAAATGAACATGTACTTGTCAACGGTACAATGGCCACTTTATTTTCATTAAGTAATATTATTTTAATTTTCATGTTTATTAGTACTAACAATGACATAAAGAGACTAGTTTCCGTGAATTGCCAAGCAAGTGGACAAACAAATTCAAGTGGGTAGGAAAGAATTGCAGAATCCTCATCAGTCACCATTCTAGATTTTCCTTTCCTATGTACTACTACTTTCTTTTCCAACCACAGGATGGTTGGTTTAGTGGATGGAGGTTGGATTTTGGAGGTTTGCTCATTTTCAGATCTTAAGTTCAAATTTTTTAGCAAATAAATTCATGCCTAGGAGTGACAGATCGCAGTGTGCAAGTCCTATTTCAGAAGGTTTGTTTGAACTATAAGGACTTAGTTTGGTGCGCATAAGTTGATCCAAAATACCTTATTTAACAATAAATAATAATAAAAAAAAACTTTCTTTTCCCTCTTCTTATGTTATTGCCTACTTTTGGCTATTGTCGAAACAGAAATCCCATTATCCAAAATCATTCATGAAAAAGTGTACTTGTCTTCAACCCAACCTATGTTTGCGAAATTTCCTCACGTTAAATAAAAATTTAGTGCAATAATAATCTTATTTTATATATTTTTATTGATTAATAAAAAATTATAAATAAGAATATATAGTCAATCTTGGTCTGCCACTCATTCAATCATGTATCTCATGTTGTATTATGAAAATTCTTGCCATGTTTTATCTCTAATCTATTCTGGATGCAAGGTTATGTTTATTTAATTCCATATATGATGGAATTGGATTAGTAATTTGGTGAATTTCACATATAACAATGATAGGAACCAAGAATAATTAATTAGAAAAATATTCAAAAAGAGGATTCAATGGTTGAGATGCATTTAAAAAATGAGTTCCATTATACAAAATTGAATCTACACCATCCACTGCCATTTTGAGTTAATTTCTTGTATTGTTTTTCTATTCTTTTTTTTTTTTTGTTGAACAGTAGAAAGTATCATTAAAGAAGGCCAAACGGCAAGAGTCCATTCAAACCAAAACTTACACCAAAGCAAATAAAAAAAAAAAATTCGAAAAGCACAAAGGAGAGAAACTAAAAAAAATATTTAAACACATATTGTACTCGTGCTCATACTGTAAAGCAGAACCGATTATAGAATCAGAAATAAATAATGTCTAAAATAAATCATAAATCCCACTACAGAATGGGTAAACGTAACTTTCACACACTGATGAGCTCCACACAACCAACCAAACAAACATCAAAGCACAAAGGAAATAGAGTATTGTTTTTCTAAAACCATAACTTTTCTTTTTCACATAAACTACGTTTGGTTGATAGACCATGGGATTAAGAATATCATAATTCTATGAATCTACGTTAGAAAAGACTATGAACCCACTAGGAATCCCAATTCCATAAGATTTTATTGTCCGTAGTTTAAAAAACCAATAAAATCGCATTTTATATAATGAATTTTTTTTATATAATTTTATAAATTTAATTGTAACAAACAAATACTATCAAACTGGTGCATGAACAAATACATCTTTTAATCCATTCATTATGTGTAGAAACTCTATTTTTTTACAATAATTAATTGTCGACTAATTTAAAAAAATAATAATTTGATCATATGATTACAGTTGTCTAATTAATTCGATTTTTTTCAATAATGATATTTTTAAAGGGACTTATAAGATAAATTGTTCAAAATATTAAAGTGTATGGTAGGTCTATCAAAGCCCAACAACACAATCCTAGAGAGAATCTCATACTTTTTTTTTAATACAATATTTTCATCCAAATTAAATAAAAAAAATCATAATAAAATTTTTATTTTTCACAACTCAACTTACATCATCAAAAACTTGTTATATATTTTTTGTTAGCATATTATTAACCTTTTGTTTTTTTTGGGTATGCATGTCATATATGATTTTTGTAGAAGCACTTGACTAATTTGGATAGTGGGCGATGGCTACTCTGCAGGCCCAGTCACTCTCTCTCTCTCTCTCTAAAAAGGAAAGAATTGGTCCAATTCATTTCTCGAAGGAAACAAAAGTTAACACGGCAGCATGCAACAAATTACTAGCAAGTTAATGCAAATTACCTTTTCAAGTCCTCTCTCACTCTCTCTCTCTGGTGATCCAATCTTGACTTTAATTCTCATTCTGCATTTGTTTGTTTGTTTTTGTTTTGTTAAGTATAGAAATATTTTATTTCAATTTGGTGGTTAACGAAAATTGTCATGAAAACTAGCATAAGTGTAAACTTCTTCTATTTCCTTGTTATCATTATTTTTTTACTGTATTTTCTATTCTACTATATTCTACATATCCATTATCACGTAATATTCTAAAATTATTAAATAATTTTTCTTCTTTCGTTATTCTTGTATTTTTTTTCTCTCTCTCCATCCTTTACCGCCCTCAATCCTAGTGGGTAAAAAAAGATGTGGAGGTTTTAGGTGGTATGAATGGGTATGATTGACCAACAAGAGGTAAGGGGTGGGGTGGTGATGGGAGGATTGGACGTGATGGAAAGGGTTGGATTAGGAAAAAAATGGGGGAGTGGTAAGGGAGAGATGGTCAGTCATGGTGAGCTTAAAAATATAATTAAAAACATAACGAGGATGAAGAAGAAAAAAAAAAGAAAAGAAATTATATTTAACTTTAAGGGATTTGGCTTAGTAGAAAGAGCAGGTGAGCAAATGGTTTATCACCCAAGAAGTTACAGGTTCGAATCTTACGAATGCCAAATATTTCAAACCTTGGAGTTATTAGAGATTTGCCCAGTCGTTAACAGAGTCTTGAAGTTAGTTAAAGTGCAGGTAAATTGAGCTGGACACTCGGTTATAAAAAATAAAAATAAAATAAAATAAAAAATTATATTTGCCTAAAAAATGTCTCATGTAACACTTACTGTATGATAATTTTTGTTAGTAAATTAAACATCAGACTAACATAAGGTCAACATTTCAATTTAATCAAAAGTACAATAAATTAACTGTTATAATTTAAAAATAAATAATTAAAATAAAATTTGGTGCAATATATTTAACCTTGTACAAAACAACAGGCATTTGAATACTTGTAAATTGTCACACTGTAAAATGATGTGATTCTCAAAACAATCAATTAGCCAAGTCATCATGTAATGTAGCCCACTTTCATAACATGAAGAACATCAGAATTGACTTATTATGCCCCACAGTGGAAGCAAGTAAAGTATGCTCTGCCTTCCTTAAAATAAATAAATAAAGTACGTAAATGGTCT